GCCGAGTGGGTCGTTAATGACCCAAATTCTTTATTTTTAAAAAGTTAGAGTCACACAGTATTGACCATATGTTTTTAACTTATGCTTTTTATTTTATTTTATCCTAACGTCTTTGTTTCAGAAGTTAAAGCCAAAAAACCGTGATGGGTCGTTTGCGACCCGGACGAGTGGGTCGTATGCGACCATAGCTGTATCTTTTAAAGTAAACGAGATACAGATTAGCTTTTTAGGATATCTCATTTTTTCTGTAAAGTGACCTAGTGTGTTAAACGGCATCAAAATCGGCAAACTTTAAAACTCGTCGTCCCTAATGGGTTAAATATCGCTCATTGGTCACCGCTGACGGCTTATCCTTGAGGAATACACTTCTCAAAGTGCACTTGAAAAGTTTGATAATTTCACTTTAACCGAGCAATTAGAATGACGGCACAATTTATTGGCCACTGTTTAATTAAGAGATTTCAATCTAACCCTGACAATTATAATTAATAAATTATTGATGGTAGACTGTATTATTTTCATTTGGTTTCTGACCAATGCACATAATGACGTTTTTTCTGTTCATAACATTAACAAGCATCAACACTATAAATAAATTCTATTTTAACGATTTTCATAGAAAAAGACAAAACGACTGCCCTTCGAGTATCTTGTCCAGAAATACGACCGAAAACTTAGCCACTGTCAATAGCAATTTTGTCTTCATTGGAGCTGTCCAGTGTCCAGTGGTTTTATTGACGTAAATCTCATAGCAATAACGTTAATGGTGGTTAAAGGAATGAATCATTTGATGACAATGTAAATGTAATGTGGGGGGGGGGGGGCGTGAGACCTGAGAGTCTGGGTCAGTACTACTTTATATATGCGACCTGCATAATGTGGCTTTTTGGTTTACTGATGGAGCAACAAACCAAAATAACAGTACAGTGCTGAGTGCACACAATCACGAGACAAAGCTGCCTTAGCGAGGGATAGTTCTTAAAAGCTTGAGCAACAAACAATAAAGCTGACAGAATTTTATTTGCAACTTCCTTTTCAGAAGTAATTAGAGCTATATGCCGGCAATTGTTATATAGTGAAAGCAACCGTGTCTCTGTTATAGAACTTGGTAGAAAATCAATTTAACTGTTCGGAAGCTGATCGCGTGAAATTTGAGACAGCTATTTAAGCATCGAATAGTGATTATAACTATCTTCAGGTTTCATAATACCATATACCATGGTAATGTCTGATTGCTGGTTTCGATGACGAAGCCACCTGAGAAAATGAAACACGACCTTTAACAGAGAGGCACAGTTAATCAAGACAGGAGAAGGCCCTTTCAAGATAGTGTAGACTGCACACTGCTCGCATAGGTAAAAGTTGTTTCTTGACAATGAAGTTGAACAGTCAACATCAAATATAATACATCATCTCTCCGTTAGCTACGATACACGTGCAAATTAAAAGGGAAATTACTAACCTATTCGATTAAATCCTGTCCCACACCCCTTCATGTTTCAGAATCTCACAATTCACGTGTCTAGTTTAAGTTATTTAATACCGATTGTAGCAGCTCCCTTAATGATCATAAAGCTGCCGATTATGCGACTTCCCTGCAGATCACTAAGTGGTTTGATATTGAAATTTTGAGCATTATAAATAGGTAATCTATTGAATAATGAAGTATTATTAGTACTCGTTAGCTGCTGATGCAGATAACATATTAACATAGTGAACTCATAGCAGACTCAGCTATAACAGACGGCGCCACTGCTCATCTTAGTAACTGGCTAGAGGTTAGTTCTGTAAATTTTAATAATAAGTTGCCTCCCAACCTGTAGCTCACTGGCTTATCGAGCGGTACTAGACTACTAGCACCATAAATGTCAAGCAGGGAACACTCGTTAACAAATTTAAGGTTTACAAACGGCGAATGAAATGTACAGGAAAAAACGCGGACCGTCATACCCCAAACTGTCAAATTGTAAATACTGTTGATTAGATGGATTGTGTTAAACTGAGTAACTTGATGAGCAACAATAAGTTAAACAAGAAAATTATTAAGAGCCTCATTGATGCCTGTAGCTCTGTCCTACGGGGGACTGGGGAGAGATCGTACAGACAGAGCCTGAAAACAGTAGCTCTGTCCCTCGGGGGAGAGATCGTACAGACAGAGCCTGGTAACATTAGCTCCGTCTCACGGGGGAGAGATCGTACAGACAGAGACTGGTAACATTAGCTCTGTCTCACGGGGAAGAGATCGTACAGACAGAGACTGGTAACATTAGCTCTGTCTCACGGGGAAGAGATCGTACAGACAGAGCCTGGTAACCGTAGCTCTGTCCCACGAGGAAGAGATCGTACAGACAGAGCCTGGTAACAGTAGCTCTGTCTCACGGGGGAGAGATCGTACAGACAGAGCCTGAAAACAGTAGCTCTGTCCCTCGGGGGAGAGATCGTACAGACAGAGCCTGGTAACATTAGCTCCGTCTCACGGGGGAGAGATCGTACAGACAGAGACTGGTAACATTAGCTCTGTCTCACGGGGAAGAGATCGTACAGACAGAGCCTGGTAACCGTAGCTCTGTCCCACGAGGAAGAGATCGTACAGACAGAGCCTGGTAACAGTAGCTCTGTCTCACGGGGGAGAGATCGTACAGACAGAGCCTGGTAACAGTAGCTCTGTCTCACGGGGGAGAGATCAGAGATCGTACAGGCAGAGCACATGTACAATGAGTGGACAGTGGCCACCAGTCAACCTTATTACCATGGGGCACCAGCGGATGGGATTATGTGTTGCGTAATTCAATGATTAACCATTTCTGGGTACCTTTTATTTCACAGTTCCATACCAGGTTTATTCAGGCGTTTCACTTTCAGTCATGTCAGTTTAGGTCAATTCATTAACCCCGCTCCAGAACCAGTAGCACTAGCAAGGGCAAGTAAATCTGGACATGAGCTGTGAATTTCGAGAAGAACTGCGTTACCTAACTATAACCTTTAAAAAATAAGTTGCAGATTCTTAGCAGAATCAGTAGAACAAAAGCAAGTTCGATTATAAAAATCATATCCGATGATTCGTATAAATATTGAATAACATATCGAGATACCAGCTATAATCATTCTATAAAGACAGTAAGTGTCAGAGTGTAAGCCGAGTTAATGAAAACAAAAGCAAGTGTATTAAACAGTAATTACCGAACAGTAAACTGACATTTCGGACAATGGAATAATTAATCAAGTCTCACATTGAGTTTTTTCTCTCAGATCACTGTGGAAACACACGCTGATTCACACAATTTGCAATTACTAAAACCAGTTAAAGCTTGTCAGACGGCCGGGGCTCATGTACCGGCAGTAATTATTGTCTAATTAAGAAACCAAAGTGTTGAAATCACAATAATGTGTGTTTTTTCCTTGTAAGGAAACGAATTCTACGCACAGTACACCGAAACAGGTGCATTCTCCGTGGAGTTTTTATTACATCTCAAGATACGAGGTTTAATACTTTTATTTAAATATTTATGAGTGGTAACTTTATAAACATGCAATATCATTTGAACTGAGGACACTCAATACTGGATACCGGATACTAGATACTGGACACTGAATCTTTGAATCACAATTATGAGCTATCAGTTGACAGGGATAATGAATGATTGTCAACGTTGAATATTATGCGTCGTATATATATATTATGCGCTATTATATTTATATTCACAGCACGTCACTGCATCACAAGCGTAATTTTTTTGGCGTTGCCAAGTCGAATTAGAACAGTTGACTGTTAAATGTTAATTTATAGTCTATCTAATCTGTGCAGACTGCTCTTTATTTAGATTAATTGATAATCGTGGAATAAACGTTAATGTTATTCTGTCAATGTCATACAAATTATGTAATATGTAATCATGTCACGCAATCAGAAAGTAAAATCGAATATTTAATTGTATTTGTATTGAATCGCGGGTAAAGATAATGGTTCATGGATCACGCTTCTTTCAAAAAACATCAAGGACATCTTGACAGCTTAAGTTAGATTTTAAAAATAGATTTAATAACAGGCAGCCTGTCCTAAAATGCTCAATAAAATGTTGAATGGTTGACTTATATGTTATATTTTATATGCTTTAATATTCAACTATTACTAAGTGAATTATACTACTAAAAATATAGTCACATTTTCTGGGTCTAAACGAATAAAATAGGCAAGAGTACTACAGCGTACGCTAAAGTGAAGAAGAACGAAATGACGATGACTCGCAGCCTGAATATGTCACCGTTGCGGTGCGGTTCAAATTCAATATGTCTGCTTCTGTTCTGTGTTACCACGTGACGATCCATTTCCTCGTTACTAGACTCCGAGGGATCAGTGTCGATGCTGTAATTACTTCGGACCGTCCTGAGACTCTCCGCACTATGATTCCTTTTTAGTCTAACCATCTTCTGTTTGGAAAACTCGGCAAATGAATTGTATTTCATTTTTAGTTGCCTCTTCACGCTAGATGGACTAGTGGATTTCATTACGCTGGATGTAGTGGATACGGACAGAAGAGACAAGTCATCGAGGGATTTTGACCGTCGTCTCCGTTTATTGAATAACCTTTTGAACTTCCCCATACTTTCTCACGTAACTGATCGAGGCATGAGCTCTGAATGCAACCACTTTGACAAATTCATGGACTTTCACATAAGACATATTTCTAGTTGTCATGGTAACACTCACAAAGCACGTGAATTAACGTACACATTGGCCTTCTAAGTGACAAATACGACAAGATTCACCTTTCATTGACCACTGTTTACCCCCTAGAGTACCATGCTTGCTTGCTTTCAACAGTCAAGCCTTCTGCCTCATAGCACAATCAAATTTTGCAGAAACGTGCAGCGCCAGCATGTGCGCGGCTGCTTTACGTTACACTAAATTTAAGCAATGAAAACTATCTGTATACTAATTTGATTCGACGTTCGCGCGTTCCATAATACGCATTCTCTATCGATATTCGAAAACAAACTACTTGAATAAAACGGTTTAAATTGTATGCATACAAAACGATTAAACATTAAACCAGAAATATACCCTGAATTACTAAGGAACCGTCCAAAGAATCAGCAGAAATCATATTGATCGTGGAATTCATACAATGTAGATTTATACTTTAACATCATCAGCATTTTTAGTCAACATTGATACGTTAACGGAAAAGTAAATGTTTACTATTGATAATATCTCTTAACATATTTGTCATGCAATTTTCCACCGTCGCTTAAGCAATATCATAGAGGCTCGTGTATCCTGATCTCAGAAGAGTTTAAAATCCTTGTTCGTCTTCGACATGTCGTCCACAAACCTGAAAGTATCGAATGTTAACGATATTTTATGAGAATACGACAACTGTTACTTGCGTGTGATTGTTAAGCATATTGAGTTTATTTTCACAGTATTTCGAACGGGCTTCAAAATTCTACGAGTTTTCATCGTTTACTGTTGCCCAGCAAGTAGCAGTAACATGTAAATGCGATAATAAGGTAAAAACTGAGAAACTGATGAACATTTTACAGAAATTCATTTCAGTAATTCAATATCGAGAGTAAGTAAATGAATAAATCTCGCTCAAATTTTGATCTCAAGCAGATTCACGTACTGTAGTGCGACACGTACCCTAGTGCGAAACCTCCAAGATCGACACTGTCGCAGTAGAGTACCCTGGATCGTAGTGCGACACGTACCCTAGTGCGACAGAGAATTTTCAAGGCCGACACTGTCGCACTACAGTGGACTGTAGTGCGACACGAACTAAAGTGCGACAAAACACTTTACACATTCAATAAAAATTTTACTTTTAGCGGATAAAGAACCCTCAAACACCATGACCATGACCAGGTCGAAGAGACCTGGTGACATGGGCACATATTAGGTGCGATGGGTGCGGGATCGCACAATTTACCGTTTTCCGCACACTTCCGCATAATTTATTGTTTTCCGCACATTTCCGCACATTTTGTAATTATCTGCATATTTCCGCATAATCTAGCATTTTCCGCGTAATTTCGCATAATTTTTTATTTTCGCGTTAAGATTTTCGAGTGTAAAAACCAAAATATGTTAAAAGTCGGGCCCTTTTATAGTGACTCAGGCCCTTTCGGGACCCTGACCCAGGCCCTTTCGGGACCGTGACCCAGGCCCTTTTGGAACTCATACCTAGGCCACGTGACCCAGTTACCACGTGACTCAGGACCTTTCGGGACCCTGACCCAGGCCCTTTCGGGACCCTGACCCAGGCCCTTTCGGGACCGTGACTCAGGCCCTTTTGGAACTCATACTTAGGCCACGTGACCCGGTTACCACGTGACCGAGGCCCTTTCGGGACCGTGACCCAGGCCCTTTCGGGACCGTTACCCAGGCCCTTTCGGGACCCTGACCCAGGCCCTTTCGGGACCGTGACCCAGGCCCTTTTGGAACTCATGCTTAGGCCACGTGACTGAGGCCCTTTCGGGACCTCGACCCAGGCCCTTTCGGGACCGTTACCCAGGCCCTTTCGGGACCCTGACCCAGGCCCTTTTGGAACTCATGCTTAGGCCACGTGACCGAGGCCCTTTCGGGACCGTGACCCAGGCCCTTTCGGGACCGTTACCCAGGCCCTTTCGGGACCCTGACCCAGGCCCTTTCGGGACCGTGACCCAGGCCGTTATGGAACCCTCGTCGTTACCGTACTTCGATTATAGTGTATCAGTTATCATTCGTAACTTCACCACATCATCTGATTACTCTATATCATTATCACATCACAACGTCATGGACCGTTTCCTAAAGAAACGAACAGGTACAAACAGTGACCCATCATCAAACTCACCACACAAGAAACAGAAGATACCTGCATGGGATCTGATCGACTCTATCAAGAGGTGTCTTCAAATAACTGTCTCCTGATCTCTACCAGATCAAGTCACTGTTCTCAGATAACTGAATCTCAATATTAGGTTCAATCATGGTCTTAGTAAAGAACTACACCCTCAGTAACACATAAACAGACCTATTTTTGATAAGAGCGGCGGTTATACGTTTAGAATTTCCAAAGTCCTTGAGAAAATGCAAAAGAAAACCGCACAATTCCCGCACAAATTTCGAAAAAATCGCCGCACATTTGCCGCATAATTGGTAAAAATTTACCGCACCTTACCGCACATTTTACCTTTATAGTTGGGTGCGGTACCGCATAATTTCGATTTTTTTACCGCACCTAATATGTGCCTCTGCCAGCCTGGTGACCATCTCATGCTCAAGGTACCAAAGAATAAAAAGTCCAAAGTTGATGACAGACGTTTCTCAAGCCATGCACCGATTGCATGGAACTCTCTTCCACTGATGTTGAGATGTATTACTGATACCAACTGCTTCAAGCGAATGTTAAAGAACCATTTATATAATCAGTTTTGATGTTTTTTCTTTCCATTTGTCTTCATTTTTGCAAGACACCTTGGCTTTTATCTCTTACCGCACCCCATTTTATGTCTAAGTTCTCTACCTTTCTATGTCACTGTACTAACCTTTATTATACCTACATGTATTGTATGGTCTCTGCTTCTTTTTAGTTTAGTGTGGTTTAAAATAAAAGATGTTTTAATTTTGTCTTGGTCTTATATTAATATTACGTTATACCGTTCATTTTTGCACATTTGCTCACATCACTCACAGTCAGCCGCTCTAACATGGCAGTGGTCCGGGACCTAGTCATAGGATTTTAGGTCATCATCTTAGATTCCTTTTAGTCCAGGTTAACCTGTTAGAAAAAATAGATGCCGATGCAATGCAAAAAACCATAATTAATTTCACAAAAAGCTCTTTTTTTGCCAGCGCGTCAAAATCGCGCGTTTTAGAAACCTGGTCAAAACTCTAATAAATTGCCCAAAATAGGTAAAAGTGAGCTCTAAACTGTTTAATTGTGTTATCTCAGTTCTCTATCTAGGCTAAATTAGACTCAATTCTATACAGCAATCCCAATACACTGCAAAAAAAATTATTGTGCCATCTTGTAAAATTGCCAAAAAATGCAATTTTTGACAAAAAATCAGGTAAAATTAATATTTGAGGTCAAATATCCATCTAATCACTCTGAAAACCTTTTTAAACGTTATTTTGGGGCAAGATACCCCTAATAAACATGTTTTGTGGTATATCATACCCCTTAGTCATGCCTATGTCTACCTCGCATGGGCGCCCGGACCACTGTGCATGGTTAACCACCTTCCTTGTGTTGTTGGTTAATCATATGAGCGGGATATAAATACCTCATTTCATTTCATTTCATTTCAATGACAAGAGTGTAGTCGTGTATGAGTAATGGGGTTAAATATAAAATCAAAGATTGCAATCACAATATTCAATTCAAATCATTGTTCCACCACACTTCAACTAATCCTTTCTGTTATAATCATCGTAGCTATCAATCACAGCGTTCAAGCGACGGTCGTAATCAGTCCACTTCTTCAGTCGGCGAGGAGGTAGTTGTCTGAGCATCTTCATTCTTCTGGTTGATCTTCCATTGGGTTAGATCCTGCTCCTTCTTCAGGACGTCGATAAATCGCCAGATAGTAGGGTTGGTGCAGCCCATCAAGGGGGAGAGGAGGTTTGTGTTCCGACCCAGGTACGTTCGTAGTAGTCACTAGGCAGCAAAGGAATCCATCTCCGAGGGAAGGGTTGCTTTCAGCTGCGTCCAGGTCACAGTAGTGTTGTTCGTCAGACTGAGACGTCCGGAGCAGGTCTTCTCAGTGCATCGCCAGTAGATCTTGTCGTCGCAATTCTTATCCAGGCAGTAGCGGTATCCGTCGTGGATAACGTTTCTTGAACCAGTAGTGCGTCCAGGAATGAAGGTGATTGAAGAAGACATGTTGATGTTGTTAGATGCTTTGGTAGAATCATCGTGACCTTATTTATGGCCCAAGCATATGAACTTGTTATCCCAATGCAATCGGAGATATACCTTCATACGATGCGTGTGATAGGAATGAGAATCATATGCTGCTTAAGAGTTACCCAGTGGATCACATACTGCATACGTGGCTTGAACTGACCCGAAGGAATTATGATCAGTGGATAACTTCGAAACACGTGATGTGATCCGACGAATCGTATTCGCAAGATCACTTCGAAATAAGTGACGTGAACCGACCCGACGAATCACTTAATGGTCCATAAGAAGGATAGGATGTGACCTGAACTTGGAAATAAGTCAGGATATTTTGTCGCACTAGAGTACGCTACCTGGATCGTAGTGCGACACGTACTGTAGTGCGACAGAGGGTGTTTTTGTCGGACTTCGCACTAGAGTACGTGTCGCACTAGAGTACGACACGTACTCTAGTGCGAAGTCCGACAAAAACACATGACCACCGACAATTTGACTCCACAACAACGTACCGCCGACAATTTGACTCCACAACAACGTACCGCTCTTAAATCTTTAAAATCTAAGAAATCTGAATTGAAATTTCTACCTGCTGATAAGGGCAACGCCACTGTTGTACTGACTCACGATCAATACATAACCAAAGTTACCGACCACTTATCCTCAGGTAGTTACACCCTCTTAACGAAAGACCCCACTCAATCCGTTACCACTAAACTACAGAAAGTCCTCAAGAAACTACACACCGACAAGAAGATCACGACCGACCTATACCACAAGATGCGCAACCTACATCCTAGATGGCCTCAACTTTACGGACAACCTAAGATACACAAACCCGGCGCACCTATCCGTCCCGTAGTCAGCTTCTACAACACCCCCCTCCAAGCCCTCCACAAAGTCCTCGCATCTTTCCTCAAACCCCTAGCCCAGAACCCCTTACGCCTCAAAGACTCTTCCGACTTCAAACATCGCTTCGACTCCTCTCTCAATCCCTCCTTCCACTACCACGCCTCCTTAGACGTCCAATCCTTGTACACCTCCTGTGACATGCGCCTATCCCTCAAAACTGTCATCTCCTCCTTTGAACAGAACCCCTCTCGTCTTCCCTCCAATGTCACCACCACCACCATAGGCTCCCTCATCAACTTTTGCCTTGACAACTCATACCTTGAATTCAACGGCTCCTTCTACTCCCAAGACGAAGGTGGTACAATGGGATCCCCCCTCATTGTTGAACTAGCTGAAATCCGCCTTGCTGAAATCGAGACCTTAGCTTTATCCTCATGTCCTGACCCTCCGAACACTTACTCCCATTTCGTTGACGACGGCCTTGGATCTTTCAGAGACAGAAACCACGCAGAATCCTTCCTTACATTCCTTAACTCCCTTACTGAAGACCTCAACTTTACCCAAGAACATCCCTCTACAGACGGAACTATACC